AGGAAAAAGCAGGGGGCAGGGGAGTGGAGGTGAAATAATCATTATAAAGGTAGTTTTACAAAATTTTCTCCAAACTCAAGATGAATTTCCAGAACGAGAGGACCTACAGCATGCCCAGCACAATGAATGGAAATAGATTTACTCTAAGACACACGCAGGACACAGAAGTCTAAAAGCTTCCAGAGAGAAAGAACAAGGTTTCTAGAAAAGATTAGGAAACAAAATGGCTTTGGGCTTTTTCAACAGAAATTAGAAGACGATGGAACAAGCCTTCAAAATTCAGAAGGAAGATTTTTTCCAACTTAGAATTCTATACCTAGTCAAACTATCAATTAAATGTGGGGCACTTTTAGAAATACAAGCTCTCAAAATTTTACCTAAAATGTCAACTTTTGGAAAGCTACAGGTAGATGTTCCCCCAAATAATGTAGGGAGTATAGAGGGAGGATGTGGGATCTAGGACGCAAGAGATTCAACAAAGAAGAAGAAGAAGCCTCCAGATGGTGGTGAAGGGAGAGCTGGTGACTCGGGCTGAGCAGCTGGCCTTGCCATCAACCAGGCCAGGATGGAGCCGTCAGAAATCTGCAGGGACTTTTAGGCAAGTGAATCAGTAGAATACTTAATAGGAGAGATTGCATTAAGAGGAGATTTACATAAATGGGGGAGAGTTTGGAAATAAGGGATACATTTATAGAAAACTAAGCAAAAAATATAACATAAAGATTAAGTATTAATTTCAGAAAACACAAAGTTGTGCAGGAAAGAATATTAATCACAGCACACTGTGAATAGCATTTCTTTTGCTCTGATGACATAAAAATCCTTTCAAAATATGACACCAAAGCATAGACCACAAAAGAAATAAAGATAAATTGGGCTACAGAAAATAAAAACTGTGTTTCAAAGAACACAATCAACAGAGCGAATAGGCTACCCACAGAATGGGGGAAAATATTTGCAAATCATATATATGATAAAGGATTAATGTCCAGACTATATAAAGAATTCCTATAACTCAGTAATAACAAAAATCTAAAACTCAATTAAAAAATTGGCAAAGGATTTAAGTAGACATTTCCCCTAAGAAGATATACAATGGCCAAAAAGCACATGAAATGATGTTTGACCTCACTAATCAAGGAAATGCAAGTCAAAATTACAACGAGATACCACTTCATACCCATTAGGATGTCTGCTATCAAAAATAAAACAAAACAGAAAATAACAAGTGCTGGCAAGGATGTGAAAAAAATGGAACCCTTGTGCACTGTTGGTGGGAATGTAAATGGTGCAATTAGTATGGAAAATAGTAGGGCAGTTTCTCAAAAAATTAAAAATAGAATTACCATATGATCCAGCAATTCCCACTTCTGGATATACTAGAAGCCCGGTGCACAAAAATCTGTGCACTGGCAGGGGGGGAGGGTCTCTCAGCCCAACCTGTGCCCTCTCACAGTCTGGGACCCCTCGGGAGATAACCACCTGCTGACATAGGCCTGCTCCCCTGGTGGCAGATGGCATGCCCGATCCCACGGTGCCTGCCACGTCCCCCCTGGTCGCACATGGCAGGCCCGAATCCCACACTGGGGCGGGTGGCAGCTGGGGATCTCGCTGCTGCCCCCCTCTCCCCGCCCCGGGCTGCACACGGCAGGCCCGGATATGTGCTGGGCAGGCGGTGGCTTGGGATCATGCTGCCGCCAGCACAGGGCGGTGCAGTGGGATCTGCCTGCAGTATGCAAATTTAACCGCCATCTTTGTTGGGTTAATTTGCATACTCTTCTTATTGGCTGGTGGGCGTAGCAAAGGTACAGTCAATTAGCATCTTTGTCTTTTATTAGTGTAGATACCCAAAAGAATTGAAAGCAGGGACTAGAAGAGATTTTTGTATATTCGTGATCATATTAGCATTATTTACAATAGCCAAGAGATGGAAGCAACCCAAGTGCTCACCAATGGATAAATGAATAAACAAAGTATGGGATATACATGCAATGGAATATTATTCATCCTTAAGGAGGAAGGAAATTCTGACATATGATACAACATGGATGAACATTGAGGACATGATGGTAAGTGAAATAAGCCAATCATAACACAGTAGATACTGTCTAATTCCACTTATATAAGGTGCCTAGAGTAGTTGAATTCATTGAGACAGAAAGTAGAATGTGGTTGCCAGGGGCTGGGGATAAAGGGGAAAGGGGGCTTACTGTTTAATGCATATAGAATTTTCAACATGAAAAAGAGTTCTGGAGATGGATAGTGGTTATGGTAGCACAACAATGTGAATGTACTCAATGCCACAAAACTTACACTTAAAAGTGATTAAGAAGGTAATTTTTCTGTTATGTGTATTCTACCACAATTAAAAATAAAAAGACATTTTTAAACATCACAACCATATTGGAAGGATGGGCAGAAGTTGAGGCACAGGGCGTTGAGTGTGTGGGTGTCTGCATGTATATGTGTTCCGGGGTGCTGGGGCGGGGGGTGTGAGACCTAAATCTTCTTCGTCATGGTGGGAGTCAACAGATAGTGCCTAAAACCGAAAGATCAAGAAATAGAAACAAGTGTGTTATTTAATGATAAGGCAGTAAATACCAAAAGAATCAGCCAAAAGAGTTGAAAGTGTTTGCCTCTGGGAGAAGGAAATGGAGGTGGGGCGTGAATGACTAAATGTTCCATAACTAGCCTTGCAGAACTATTTGATTCTTTAAACCATGTGAAGTAAAACTTTGATAAGAAATCATTACAG